GTATTACCGACAAATATGTTACTTTGTACCAGATTAGGATCTATGTATGCACAATACACTCACAAATCAAACCCCGTGCATGACTGACTTTTTGGGCTGCTACTGGAAGGTTTGACACTGACATTTATAATCTGAATAAAATATAATGGAAAGTTGTGGTGGACAACTCTTGACAGCACTCCCCTGCTTCTGTAGTATACTATATAAACATACAACACAACTGAAACCACATGTCTGTTTTTTGTGTAATATGGAATATACTGGGTTATTCAAAATGATGAAGACATTTTCCTTCATATATATTTCCTTGAATTAATATAAAAAATATATATACAAGAGAGAGAGGAAGGTCTGAAGTTTACAAACTTATAATAGAGGCTATCAGGCTACTCCAATTGAAGGTATGGAGAGAGAGAGGGGGGAAATTGAGAGAGAATGGCTAATACAAAGAGAAAGAGATGAGAAGGCAGTGACAGACAAGACAGGCAGAAAGTGAGGGACAGGTAGGATAAAAAGGAGGCATGTAGGGTGATGGACAGAAATTAAAAATACGTCAGTTCAAACCACAAGGGTACTAACAAATATAACATATCAAAAGACAAGCCTGACATCAAAAGAATACATTAAATGGGAAAAATCACCAGGCTCATGCTGAATCTCCAAACCCTCTCCCCCAACCATAACAGTTTCTTGTGTACCAGACACAGTTACCAGGGAAACACAGTTATGGAGCAGCCCATTTAGTTAACAAGAAACAAATGAGAGGGAGGGAGGGGGGATAGGAAAGGAGAGTAAAAGGAAAGAGAAGAAGATGAAGACTAGAAGAGAGGAAGAGAGGGGAGGCCGGAGACAGGTAGGAGGGAACATAGTTAGAATAGACAGGAGAGGGTCAGGATGAGAAAGGATGGAGAAAGGAGAAGAGAGAGGCAGAAGAGTGAAAAAAATAGGAGAAAGAACGCTGAGAGAAGAGAAAATATTGGTGGAGGGGGTAGAACACAGCGCCAAATACATTGTAGAATGAGCTGGGACCTCCATCAGAATATAAAGAAAAAAACAAGAAAGGAGAAGAGAGAGGCAGAAGAGTGAAAAAAAATAGGAGAAAGAGCAGTGAGAGAAGAGAAGATATTGGTGGAGGGGGCAGAAGACAGAGCCAAATACACAGTAGAATGAGCTGAGACCTACATCAGAAGATAAAGTAAAAAAACAAAAAATAGAACAGGGAAAACCAGCTGACATCACTTTGCTAGCCCCTCTATCTCCCAATGTAATCATGGTTTCCAGAAACAAACGCACACACGGCGGTTGCTGCTTCCTCCCGCCCTATGACATACAGTCGCTGCCTGCGTGTATCTATGGGCTGCAACACAGCTCGCCCTTTCTTTAATTAGCCCTTTCAGCTGAAAATGGCTAATAATCAACTGCCCGCTCACCGCAAACTACCATAAATATTTAAATCAACGGTAGCCAAAAACAGCCTAATGGCCGAAAATAGCCTAGCTGCCAAAAATTGCAGGTCAGTTTGTTTGACTTCAATTCTACCATTGCAGCAGTCAAAATTCCAGGTGAATATGACTTTTTCAAGGTCAGTTTGCTTTTTTCCAGGTGAAAAGCAAGGTTCAAGTTCAGAGCGGCAATTTCAAGGCTAAAATAAAGTTTCCAAATCTGCTACAAACCCTGGGCTATAGATGTTCAATATGGCCGCTGTCTGCAGCATGGTGGCCATCTTAATGGGAACTGAACTGAAGGGTCCTTGATGGCGTGAACATGGTTGGTTACTGCACTGCACTGTTGTCAGTGGTAGTGTTTGAAACTTTAGTCCTTCACCTCTCTCTTGTACATATGTATAATAATATGTAAAGTATATTCAAGGAAAAATACATGAATAAAAGTGTATCCATCTTTTTTAATAACACTGTGTACGTGTACGTACACACAGATAAAAACTCATATTGTTATAACTTTTTCAGAATATATGTGCACCACATTGCACTGTCATTCACAAAGCGAGTGTGAACAAAATGTGAGTTTGACAGCTTATGTGGAAAAGCATAAAAATCAAGAGCACAGTCTGTCCCACATTTACATACATATCTATAAAGTGAATGTAATACAATCTAACAGTAAACAATTGAGCATAATGAATACATAAATGATTCATTAAGAGGTAATATCTTAACCAGTAACATATAGTGGTGAAATTATAGATCAGGCTGATGAGGCAGGCTTGTATGTTCCTTCTGAAAGTGTTTCAGTCTATAGTCAACTAAGCACTAAAAACTCAGAATTTTGAAAAATAGTATAACAATCAGACGCAAAAACAACTGCATAGACAAACAAACTAGTCCAACTTTAAAAGGTAAAAGTAAAGTCGGGAGATGAGAACCAGCGTCATGCACACGGTTATAAACCATTAAGTGCTCTGCCACTAGTACGGACAGCTGATAAGAATTGTCCGCCTGTGTTGCTGTTCGCACGTAACTCTGTAGCTACAGCGACGTTCCTCCATTTACCCCAGAGTGTCACTCTAGTACCGATTTCCTAGAGGCTGGGTGAACCCCGGGGGCCGCCCGGTTTCGAACACTGACCGTGGGCTGCAGCGAGTCGCAGCTGGATTTGAAAGCCAGCCTCTTATCGACTGTGCTAATGCGGCCCCCCATAAATGAAAGTTTATAAAAACTTGAGATTGTATTTCGGCTATGACTAAAAGCATACTACACAATGACAGCCACACTTTTATAAACATGAACGTGTCAAAAGTACACATGTGACCACACGAACAGACTGTATTCTGACAGACAGTGCCCAGAATGTTACTGCTTTTCATGGTTTTAAACATGTAGTTACACCACGGACTATGCAGGCAAAACAGCTACTGCCCATGATTAACAAATAAGCTGTCAGAGTTCAATCCTCAGTGTTGGAACTGCTCTAGCCTCTTTAATAGCCCTGAAGTTGATCCAGCTTCATACATTTAATACTGGATAATATTCTCAGAAAATAATGTGTCACCTCATCTCATAAAACTGTATCTGCCACACAGATTCCCTAGCTTTATACACACGCAACACTGATGTATTCAATAAAGTTTAGCAAGACATGGAATGGAAAAAGGAACAACTACATAATGCATCATCTGGCAGACAATGAATATACAGTATCTGAAGCATAAAACCAACCAAAAACACTGAGTGCTATAAATAAGTTAAAAAACAAGCAAGTGGACATGCAGTTAGCATGCCAATCTCTCACACTGGAAAGTTATGTTCTTAATCATTATATAATAATCATGTATTTAAAGGTGGATATGGCTAGCACACCACACAACAGCCAGTAAATATGGTCAGAATCACTCAATAACACCAGTAAGTTTGGCCTGCTGGTCACAAATCAAGAAACAAAACAATGGGTTTGGACAGCACAAAAACACAACTAAACCTAGTCTACACCTATAAAAAACAACACTAAAATTTCCTGTGCCAACAAACAGCACTAGATCTCATCTGCACTAAAAAAATACCACTAAACTTGACTTGCACCAACATAAACACAACTAAACCTGACCTGCACCAACTCAAACACCACTAAACCTGACCTGTATCAAGATAAACACCACTACACCTGACCTGTACCAAGATAAACACCACTACACCTGACCTGTACCAACATAAACACAACTACACCTGACGTGTACCAACTTAAACACCACTAAACCTGACCTATACCAAGATAAACACAACTACACCTGACCTGTTCCAACTTAAACACCTGACTTGCACTAACGAACATACCACTCAACCTGACCTGCACTAACAAAAACACACTAAACCTGGTCAGCACCAACAAAAGGAGGTGGGGGCAGTCACTTCTTTCCTCCACTGGCTAGAGAATCAGCTGTACACACATGTCATAATTGTAACTGACTCACAGAGTATGCTCAGAAAGGTGGAGACAGGCATACTCCGTGCAGAGTGGCAAGCATCGCTTCAGAGGTCTGGGTGGTTAGTGTCTTTTGGATATTTTCTCCAGGTAATGCTGGTATATTAGGAAATGAACAGGCAGATAGACAGGCCCGTTGTGCACTGATGTATGACAACCTAGATGCTGTGAGAGTCCTCGGGAGTGAGTGAACAGTGCAGAGGCACAAACAGATTATTTTTGGTCTGAGGACAATGGGGTTGTGGAGAGTTACCAGGCGATCTCGCCGACACTTAACGCTCGAGGAAAAGATGAGACAAAAGTACAATTAGTTCCTGGTACTATCAGAATTGGAACTTTTCGCCTGCTGCTGAAGTTGGGTATGGGGCGCTTATGGAAGTTTCCTGAGTGGTATTATATCGCTTCTTAATACAACAAGCATCAACAACAACAACAAACATTAAACCTGACCTGCACCAATAATAAGAGCTCTAAACCTGACTTGCACCAACATAAACATCATTAAACCTGACTTGCACCAACATAAACATCATTAAACCTGACTTGCACCAACATAAACATCATTAAACCTGACTTCCACCAACATAAACATCATTAAACCTGACTTCCACCAACAAAAATATCACTAAACCTGACCTGCACCAATAAAAACATCACTAAACCTAAGCTGCACCAACAAAAACATCATTAAACCTGAACTGCACCAACATAAACATCATTAAACCTGACTTTCACCAACAAAAACACCATGTAACCTGCACCAATAAAAACATGACAAGACCTGGTCAGCACACCATAAAACCTGGCCTGCGTCACCACCAAAATAGCACAAAACCTGGCCTGCGTCACCATCAAAATAGCACAAAACCTGGTCTGCACACCACCAAATCACCAATAAACCTGCCATGAACACCACAAATGACATCTGTGAATTTGGCCTAAATACAATACACTGACAGCTGGTTATCCTGGCTGATGGCTGAAACTGTGAAGGGCTGCTGGAAAGTGCTGGTTCTGGCAAATAAATGGTCACAGTTATCTAAGTAACACTAGCACTAAAACTTTTATTCATCATCTTTGCCAATGTTTGTCTTGGACATCTCAGTCTGCAAAGTTTGTCTGCGGCCATGTTAAGGAAAATTCCGTGCTAACAATGAAACAATTCAGAGCTAATTTCTGCACATATTTAATAACTAGATAAAGCCAAACTACAACAGAAAAGCACTCAACCAGCTCGTATCAAGACTTCTTAGACTTGGTCACAGTTGACTGGTATTTCTTATTTTTCTTACTTGCCTTTATTGTCTAGAAACTCCGACAGATAGTTTTGGTTGTTCATCCACTTCTGGACTTTAGTTTTGTCCCAGAACTGATTTAAAAAAAAAATTATTATTACAGATCTGACTTTTCTGGTGACAGACTGTTGGTTCTTTGCTTCTCAGGCAGATACACTCTGACTTCAAAGGAAACATCTCTAATTAGTCGACTCTTACGACATGCTTGTTAGCGAACAGTGGGTCTATCCTGTTTTCCACTACAATTCTGCTCTGTCATGTGCATTTGTGTGTGGATATTGTGTAGAACCAAGCACCTATTGTCTCTCTCATCCTCTGCCACAGAGAAATTACTTTTTTGGGTATACCCACTTTCTCAATCCATTTGTTTCTCTTTTCAGTGCCTGTTTTAAAATTCCTTGTCCACTTAATCTCAGGATGTGCCTAATATATACTGCCTTCTTCTTTCTTTCACAACTGATGATGTAGATTACTAATGATGTCAGTTTTTAAAAAGGTATCCACATTATAAGCATGACATTAAAGAATTAAAAGAGATAGAATGAGAAAGTAACAGAAAAAATACATATAGAAAAGCAATAATTATATAAATAGTGCTACTGTACAAACTAAGAAAAATTATATAAGTAATATTAGTGCTAAGATATAATCAATGGAATCAAAAAGGATACACTGATACACTTAAATTGTGAAGCTGCAAACAGAAAATGAAACAAATAAAACAGTAATTGAATACATGTACTGAGCATTATTTTATGATCTTAAAACTACACACAAGAAATATAAAACATTATCACACAGATTAGAAGAATGCACAAGTAGAAACAGCAAAGTAGTCAAACATAATGTAAAACATTCTTCTTCTTCTTCTTCACTTCCTCTTTTACCGCTGTGGGTGTCGAGGGAGATATAAGGTTCTGTTTCTAGCTCTTCTGGCTGCCTCGACCATAGGCACATCGTGCTGTTGTAGAGTTTCTCTGATGTTATCCTTCCATCTTGTTCTTGGTCTACCCCGTGCTCTACGTCCTTCTTCTCTTTCCATGTATGCTTTGTATGGTATGGTGTCACAAGGCATTCTCTCTAAGTGGGCAAACCATTTCACTTGCTGTCTTTGTATGTAATCCAGAATTGGTTCTGTGCCGACTTGTTCTCTTATGATCTCATTCCTGATCTTATCTCTTATGGTCACTCCTACAGTCCTTCTCAGACATCTCATTTCCGTGGTTACTAATTTTCTGTTATGGTTTGTTGTGAGTGACCATGTCTGGCACTGGTAGCACAGAGTTGGAATAAATATGCTTTGAATAAGATGTCTCTTTGTGCTGATTGGGATTGTCTTATGCTGTAAGAGGGGGGCTAGATGTCCCAAAACTTGGTTTGCTTTACTGCATCTAATGTCAATTTCTTTATCCAATTTCCCATCTTCGGTAAATTTAGTTCCCAGATATTTAAACTCAGATGCCTGTTTAATGTCTTTGTATTCTATTGCTATGTAAAACATTACAAGTTAAAATAATGACCCAAAATGCACATACATTAGGTCACTGTTTTTTTCTGGTGCGATAAACTTGATTTACCATCACACAAGCCCTCCAACTCACAGGAGGTTTATGTTTATTTAACCATACAAAGCAATCAATTAAAAGTCTGTTTTTCTATTTAAAAAAACTCTCCACCTTCATAATTAAGTCTCTGATGTTCACAATCACTTCTTTCAGTTCAATCCCAGGAGAACAGACCCTCCACCAGCTAAAGGTAAAACCCTCCAAATTGTCACCATACCCTCCAGATTCCTCCATGTCCATCACATAAATTCATCTCTTCCACCAATTTTCTCATCAACATGTTCTCAACCCTCACGACTTTCTCAAATTTACTATGCTTTGTGGGTTCCACAAAAAAAGGGGAGGGGGGCACTTTCTCACAATAGTCTGGCAATTCTAGCACAGGCACAGGTTGCTGATGGAGCCATCTTCATGTAACCCAGTGTTTCCAAGCGAAACTGGTCACATTTGTAGACATCAACCAGATATTTTTTGTACGGAAGAACATCTGTGTCAGAAATGGTTGGCAGAACATGAGACAAAAAGCTGTGAACAGACATGTCTACTATCATACAGCTTAGATTATGAGGAAGGTAAAGACGAAGAGGAGAAGGGGAAAAGGCATAATTCCATTGAGAATTTGTCTGTTTAGGCTTGACATTTGTTTAACACATCCCAGACTGGAACTAACCCATAAACATTTTCAGTTTAAAATGTTTGTCAAGAACAGAAAAATAATCTTCAAGAATGTGTTCTATATATGCACTAGGGATCCCAAATAAAGTGCTTATTTATTATGGTCCACAAAATGTAAGCTCTCTAAATTTGAATTAATACTAAGAAAGAATGCAAGAACAAGAAGTAGCAAGTATGCTGATCATCATCATCTAGCTGCCATCTCCCAGCCACATGTCTGTAACACACTCTCAGTCAACTCAAAGCCCCTTGTACTAGATTATGACAGGTTCAGATTGGTCAGTCACCTCTTATGAGACAGACAACACATTTCACCCCCCCCCCCTGCCCCCCTCCCCCCCTGCCCCCCTCCCATACCCCTTTTTCAAGACTGCATTCTAATTTTTCTCAGTGTTTATCAGCTGTAAACTCTTGACATAAAGTTTTGGCAGAACTTGAGTTCTGCATGCAAAACCATTTCGCAGATCTGGCTTATTTATATACAGACTTTGGTGATGCAATCAAACTTTGAAGAAAACACCGAATTAATCACTTTACGGCATGCCTGTTGAAGGGGTAGTAGGTCTATTTTGTTGTCCCCCAAAATGAGGCTCCAGAACCCACATAGGGAAGGACCAGGTGACTCAAAGAGCCACTATCCACTTGAGAATCCAATCAGCTAATCTCAGAAAGCCTATTCTTGCACAACAGTTGTATTAGGACACCATATTGTTAGAAAGTGACCTTCAGTTTAAAGTCCATGTCTTCCTTATGGGTTCAGTAAGACATGGATGCCATGTCTGTCAATCTGTTTAAGTGACTACAACACTTGTCCCACACAGCCACTGCTTGTACCCACACAGCCACTGCTTGTACCCACACAGCCACTGCTTGTCCCACACAGCCACTGCTTGTACCCACACAGCCACTGCTTGTACCCACACAGCCACTGCTTGTACCCACACAGCCACTGCTTGTACCCACACAGCCACTGCTTGTCCCACACAGCCACTGCTTGTACCCACAGTAACTGTATCCAATCTGACCCTAGTTGTTTCAACGCTTCTATTCAAGTTGTTACTTTAACTGCATTTGTCACTGAAAGTGACTACTTGGCTTCTCACACAGTGCTATAATTGCTTTTTTTAACTGCCCAGCCTATATATTTTTTAAACACAATCAGGTAAAATTATTATCTTCAATACCAGAAAATTATTATCTTCAATACTAGAAAATTATTAACTTCAATACTAGAATATCTAAACTAAACTTAGAGAACTAACGTTTTTGAAAAATGTAATCAAACCTACCTGTTCGATGAGTTTATCAATTTTCTCATTATTTTCCTTGTGAGATTCTTCTGTGCTTAACCTGGGGATTGGAGAATCACAGTAAACATTTAATAAAACAGAATATCAAGTAAATTGAAAAAACACTGAACTAGACGCTGAAAAAACCCATTTAAAAACACACACACAGGTCACTAATAAATGTTTCAAAAAAAAAATGTGTTCATATATATAACACAATTTTCTTCAATATAAATGAATGAGATAATCAATAAACACATCAGTGACTCATACTGTGATCTCTGACCTTAGGAGAATTCTGGCTATAGGAGAATTATGACACTGTTTAAAGCTTTAAAATTACACAATGAAGGAATAGACAAATCACTTATCTGCACTGAGGCACATGCATGTATCAACCACTGCCTGGAACTTATCATAATCAAACTTGCCCAAGTTACCTGTTAGCGTTAGGTTTTGATATAAGGTCCATTTCAAAATGCTGCCTAGCCAACTGTTCTTGCTGCACTCGAATGCTGTCCATTTTGTTAAATGTGGCAGTGTTCCCTGCAAAAAAAAAAAAAAAATGAATATCTCATAAAACCTCAAGTGTTTAATTTACATGACCTAGTGTCCTAATTAAGGTAGGAAACAGATTGGGTACTTTTGAAAAGAGTAAGACAGAGATACAATATAAACAATCTGTGTTATGCAGACGATACAGTTTTGATAACTGAAAACGCAGCTGATTTGCAAAAACTGCTGGATAATGTGGGGATGAAGAGTGCTATGAAAGGACTTTCCTTGATTATTAAGAAAATAGAAGTAATAGTTAAATCAAAGAAGAAGATAACATCACATTGTGATACCTCAGTTAAATGAAAAAGACTTTATCAAGTCAATAAATTCAAATATCTGGGAACAATCATATCATTAGATGGATAATGTGTGAAAGAGATTAAAAGCAGATTAGGTTAAGTGAAGGCAGCATTTAAGAAAATTAAAAATATCCTTTGCAATAAGTCGCTTTCATTTAATGTCAGAATGAGAGTGCTAAAATATTACCTAGAACATGTTCTGCTTTATGGTAGCGAATAATGGAATGTCAGTGAACAGATTAAGTGGAATTTAGTAGCAACAGAGATGTGGTTTCTGAGACGAATGTTACGAATACCTTGGACGACAAGAGTAACTAACAAGGATTGCTTGAAAGAAGCTAATGAAAGTAGATCTCTATATACAATAATAAGAAAGGGACAACCACTGTTCTTTGGCCACGAGATGAAAAGAGAGGCACAGAAAAACCTTGTGACAACTGGACAGCTTAGTGGAATGAGGGGTAGAGGCAGACCAAGAGAGATGATGCTGGATGGGCTGAAACGATGGCATGGAGGGAAATCATCAAGAGAGCTGTTCCAGGCAACCAGGGATCGCGATCTGTGGAGATGCACGAGCACCTACCCCAGTTGGCAGAGCACATGATGATGATGAGTGTGCTTCCTGTTGAGCTTTACTGTATCTTCCTCTTCTTTGCATCCACTGGCTGTAAACTCCTGTGAAAACATCCTAAAAATTAGCTGTTCTTTACAATAGCGCAACACAAGAATTACTGGGATACACAGAAAGTCAAAACAACCATGGGTCACTCAGGAAGTTCTCAACATGTGTGATCAGCGAAGGCACCACAAGAAAGACAGGCACAACCCTCTCCCCCATTTTTCCCCTCCTAAAATGAGCATACAGAATCAAAACAAGGAATACTGTATCTTACAAAAACACATTACTTGTGTGATGTCTCAAGGAAATACTGCTAATTTCCTTGTATTACATTCCTAGTTATTAACTTAGCAAAGACAATATACAAAGACATGAAATGCCGAGTTCTTCATGAGGGAAAGCTAACAGATACATTTGAAATAAAAACAGGTGTGTAACAGGGATGTCTTTTGTCACCTCTCCTATTTTTACTGGCTATAGACTGGATTATGAAAACAGTAACTGCTAACACCAATAATGGAATTTAGTGGATCCCCCCTACAAAACAGCTTGATGATCTGGGCTTCGCTGATGATATTGCTCTTCTGCCCCACTCAAGGAATCAGATACAATATAAATAAAATATACTTAATGCGAGATCACAAGTCTGAAAATTTATAAGTGAAAGACAAAGATAATGAGATTAAATAAGGTAAATAGTAATTTGATTTCTTTTAATGGAATCCCACTCCAAGACATGGAGTCGTACATCTATTTGAGCAGTAAGGTAGATAAAGATGGGGGCACAGATAGAGACATTAAAGTACAAATACAAAAGGCAACAGGGGCTTTCATAGTGCTAGGAAATTTGTGGAGGTCAAAAAAAATTTAAACTATTACTAAACTAAAAATCTTTAATTCTAATGTCAAATCAGTACTGTGTATGGAAACATGGAGAACTACTAAGACAATTACTAATAAACTACAGACATTCATTAACTGGTCTCTGTTCAGAATAGAGGGAATTAAATGGTATGATAAAATTACTAATGTAGAGCTTTGGGAGAGAACTAAACAAGTTCCAGTTGACCAAGAGGTGAAGAAAAAAAGCTGGCGTTGGAAAGGACAAACGTTGACAAAACCTGAGAACAATTTAACTAGAATGACTTTGCAATGGAACCCACAGGGACATTGAAATAAAGGAAGACCAAAAAAAACACATGGAGAAGAGAGCTAGAGAGCGAAGTTAAAAAGATGGGGTGGACATGGAGAGAGCTGCATATAATAACGAAGGACAGAACGAAATGGTGGGAGTTCTTTCACAGAAAGTAATACCTTTGTTGCCTAACAAAAACTAAAGTACCCTTGTTTCAGGCCTTGAAGTTTATTGGGTATTTGGTGCTCATCATCCTCGTCTGCCATGCTCATAAGTGTAAGCTGTCATGTTTCCCCATCTAATATGATTACCTGAATCACAGATCAAGTCAGTGTTCTTGTCTCACCCCACCTATAGCTAACTTATCCGGGTATTTATCTTACTGCCCTCCGTCTATCTATATTACCAAGTTGTCAAATGTTTACAGATAACAGGCACTCAGTGTGTGATGTGGTCAATATCGTGCTGGCTGCCTTTACTTCTTAGTATATTTCCTGGTCACCATTTGAGGCTGAGTCGACTAAGGAGCATAAGCAAATTGTTTAAAAATCCTACCCTTTTGAGGATTCAAACATATGACTCCCGGGCAGGCAGACAGGTAGGCAAGCATCTACCCTTATTGTACTGCCATATTCTGTTGAAGTCACTATTTTTACTTGAACTTCTACAAACAGTATAATTTTACAGAATGTCTACATTAAAACTGCAATATTTTAGAAAATTGTAACTAGGCTGCTACAGTGTACAAATATGACTCTGCATTGTATTTCACAAAGCACTGTTGTAGGCATAACATTTCATCAACATGTTTGAACTGAAGGTACCAAAAGCTTGAAGTTTGCCAGAATGGAAGTCATCCAGCAGCTGGAGGAGCCCATGCTCCATGGTGCGAACATCGGCCACATCTGTGAGGAATGTGTGCTCTTTAGCAGGTCGGTTCACGGACACCTTTCGACCTGCAACATTTTACACAGTTATCAGTCACACACAAATAAACGGCTAGATTCTAGGAATAAATGAATGACTAATGAACCGACACCACTGCACTTTGGAGATTCCCACACATGCCCCATTTCCTTTAATAGCAATCAAAGGGCTCCAAAGGTGATAGTGGACAAGGGAACCCAATGAAAGATTTCTTAGGTGTCCAGCAGCTATGTGAAACAGTTGCTATGTTCAATGTTTCTACTACTCAATGCCGCCCCAATTTCCAATTCTGTTCTTTATCTATGAGTACAATACCTCCTAAGGATTTTTCAAGTTCCTTCAAATATCCCCCCCCCTAATGATATCTCTATTTATCACACACACACAAATATGAAAGCATGCACATATACACAGGCAATATATACAATTTCCACAGCATACATGTATACAAACACATATATGTGTGTATGTGTGTGTGTGTAAATCAGGATACTTGTGATCTTTATGTCTATCACTGCTCAACTTCACATCTCAGGGGGCGATTCTCTCATAACCAAAGATGGTATTTCCTTTTATGCAAAAATTCTTTCTTAAAGAAATTGTTTTACTTAGGACATATCTCATTGATCCCCACTTTCTGTTTACTGTGAACCTTAGCTGCAGAGGTGGTATAACTGTCACGTATTGCCTTAGCTGCAAAGAGGCGGTATAACTGTCACGTATTGCCTTAGCTGCAAAGAGGTGGTATAACTGTCACGTATTGCCTTAGCTGCAGAGGTGGTATAACTGTCACGTATTGCCTTAGCTGCAGAGGTGGTATAACTGTCACGTATTGCCTTAGCTGCAGAGGTGGTATAACTGTCACGTATTGCCTTAGCTGCAGAGGTGGTATAACTTCACGTATTGCCTTAGCTGCAAAGAGGTGGTATAACTTCACGTATTGCCTTAGCTGCAAAGAGGTGGTATAACTGTCACGTATTGCCTTAGCTGCAAAGAGGCGGTATAACTGTCACGTATTGCCTTGGCTGCAAAGAGGCGGTATAACTGTCACGTATTGCCTTAGCTGCAAAGAGGCAGTATAACTGTCACGTATTGCCTTAGCTGCAAAGAGGCAGTATAACTGTCACGTGTTGCCTTAGCTGCAAAGAGGCAGTTATAACTGTCACGTATTGCCTTAGCTGCAAAGAGGCGGTATAACTGTCACGTATTGCCTTAGCTGCAAAGAGGCGGTATAACTGTCACGTGTTGCCTTAGCTGCAAAGAGGCAGTATAACTGTCATGTATTGCCTTAGCTGCAAAGAGGCAGTATAACTTGTCTAGAACTGACACTGGTAGTAAAGATGTCTTCTTGCATTTCAATTTGCATGTGTGCGTTCCATGACATACATTGTGAAAATCCTTGATTTTATTATTGTGATAAGTGATTAGTAACATCTGCAGCTGTGAATGCCCCAGCATTTGTGGGTCCACAACAATCTCAACAATTTTCTTAAAAAAAACAACAGAGGAGAAAATAAGAAGCAAGCTGCACATAAGGGAACAGAAATGAACAGCAAGTTCCGTAGCTTAGGCATTGTGAGTTCGACTCGTAATTCCAACATACCGCGATTGAAACCCATTGCCAGCTACGTGAATTTTTATTATGGTATGGGGTGAGGTCGACCCAGCCTAAAATGGATACCAGGATGTATGTGCTGGGAAAGTAAAGATGGCCGGCGTAATGCTGACCACATTACCCCTGATTGGTCTGTAAAAATATGGGTGCTCTTCCCAAATGCCCGATACGCCCAAAGACTTAAAAATGGGTCTTTACTTTTTTTAATAACTTAGTTAATAGTCTCACTCTATAAAAGTGTTTTTTTAAAAGAAAAAAAAAAGGCAGATTCTTACTTTCAATATAACTTCTGACACATATCAGATGGCAATAATACACAGGCAGAAGATTTCAAACAACAAACCTGACAGTCCTTTCTCCTTTTGAGAACTCTTCCTTCTAGTCTGACTAGCAGTAGCCGCCACAGTACTGTCTTTATGTTCAGATTCCATGCTGTGTTATCTAATGTGACTGTCAGAATGTTCATAAGCACAGCACAAGCAACTGGTTAGCTCAGTTACTCATAAAATCTGATGATTTTGGAGACACTTGTTCTGTGCAAAAATGTGTTCATAACAAGATTTTGTCTGAAATATGAATACAAAATCACATAAAGGAAACGGTGTATAAATATGATGAAAAGGCAGGAACATGTAGACACTTGAAAAAGCAGCCAAAAAAAACACCTTTTTGTGTATTAAGTGTCAAGGGCAATCATTCTCCCCAAAACTGTATTTTCCTTCTTGTTCTTGGCAATCACCAGTTCTGGCTATTTATCAACTTGTGAACTTTGGTCTTGATCCAGAACTTGAGTTTTATGTGCATATCCATTTTACAGATCTGGCTTATTTGTATGCAGACTGTTAGTTCCTTGCCTCACAGGCAGATACACTCCAGCTTTGAAAGAAACATGCCAAAATATTCACCTCCTGTGAAGAAAACATGCCAAAATATTCTTCTCCCTTGAATAAAACACACCAAAATAACCACCTCCTATGAAAGAAACACGCCGAAATAACCACCTCCTATGAAGGAAACGCCAAAATAACCACCTCCTATGAAGGAAACAAGCCAAAATAACCACCTCCTATGAAGGAAACACGCCAAAATAACCACCTCCTATGAAGGAAACAAGCCAAAATAACCACCTCCTACGAAGGAAACACACCAAAATAACCACCTATGGCATGTTTCAGGAAAAGCAGTGAGTTTTTTATGTGTTCTCCAACACAGAGTCCAGGAACCTACATGGACACAAATGCTTTTAAAGACAAGAGTATCAGCTTTTCTTCACCAGGTTTTATTCCATAAGATATAGTCTCTCTTTGTAAAACAGTTGGTCACCTTCTGTGAATGTCACCTAAGCATGAAACCCCGTAGCTACAGCAACGACACCAATGGATCTCCAAAACACTCCACAAACCAAATGATAGTCAAAAATATAGACCTATACCCTTCAGTGGATGAGCAAAGTGTCATAGTCATTTCACCATGGAGACATCAAATAAAAGTCAACAAAGGAGCTTTGCTACTCTTTAGTTACTTCTCTCCTTCCCTCAAACATCTAGTAGACAGTAGTGGTTCAATTTTTCTTGGCTGAGTTATTTGTCCACTTGTTTTATTTAGACATATTCATGAGTGAGTGCCTGCTTCTTTGGCTGAAGCATTGCAAACGAGCTTCGTAACGCCAGGGTGCCGGGTTCGATCCCAGCTGCATGCACTGCGCTGGTTTCGACCTTGGTATCAAGAGGTTGACCGTCCAGTAAACAATGGCAAACTACTGGAAGTAAATCTGCCTAGAAAAACCACAACAGCCAAAGCATGCTGGGGTTGGTTCTGCAATGTCCTGTAGAGGATACAAAACAAACTTTTAAGTGAGTGGCTTCTGCAGCTAATTTTCTATGAGTTGAGGTAGTCATTCCCTGCCAATTCTGTGAATTATTCTTCTTAGTCATTATTTCATTTAGAACATACACAGAAAGTTAAGCACTCCTTGGAACGACGACCCTAGGAGATGCAATCTAATGTAACCCGATATTACTATAACTGTTCAGGATGTAATTCATTCTTTGTGTAAGTTCACATAATAATAACATTCTCTCATATTCAAAACTGTGTGAGATTAGGGTTAGGGTCAGGGTTACACTTAGGGCTAAAACTAACATGATGCAATGTTAAATATTACACAACTTCATTACACACACACATACAAAAATGATGGATTATTTCCCTTACGCTCACCATCAACAAATGGTCTAATCTAATGCATCCCCCTAGGGTCGCTGTTGATGGGTTTGACAAAGCTGTTTCACTGCAGTTAATTGAGTTAATTCAAGAACCGACATCACAGCACTCGGGGCATTTTCATAAGTGCCCTGTCCCCATCCTCAGCAGCCAGTGCAGAGTTCCAATACTAATGTTGCCAGTAGCATTCTGATTAAACATCCGTCTTGCCTTTCCTCAGAGCCTCAAGCATCGGCCAGAGCCCCTCATCAATCACCTCTGCATCAATCTCACCAGACTGTGGTGATCCATCTGCACCTCCAAACTGTACACGCTCTCCCACAAGGCACTAACTACATCTGCCTTATCATGCACCAGTATTCCACCAAGTTGTGCAGAGTCAGCCAGTCTGGCTGCCTGTTCATTTCCCAACACACCGGCATTTCCCAGGGGAAAATCCAGAAATAATCCTCACCTGAGTCCTCCGCTATTCCACATGAAGCATGCCTGTCCTGACTTTCCTCAGCATGCTTTCTGAGTCAGTTACAATCATGATTTGTGTGTCATGTTCTCTAACCAGTGGAAAGCTGCAGTGACCGCCTCCACCTCCATTCTTAAGCCGAATGTTGTGGTATCATATGCTAGGCCCTCTGTTAGTTAGTTGTGCATCTCTTATAGAATACTGCAGAACCAACCCCAGCAATTTTTGGTTCTTGTGGATTTTCTAGGCAACTTTTACATTCTCAGTAGTTTGCCACTGCTTTATGAACGGTCAGCTCTTGGTACTACTGTTGAAACCAACGAAAGACAAATCGCCCACGGCTGGAATTGAACCCGGTACCCCACCATTATGAAGCACATTCACAACACCTAAGCCACAAATGCAGAGTAGTAACACATTTTTAAATACTTTCCAGTTCTTGTTACTTGATTAGCCAGAAATTTTGGCGTCCCATGGGTTGAAGGTTCAAGTCTAGCTTGAGCTTCCTAGTCAAATTAAATTTCACGAATATTTCACGAATTACTCACCTTTAATTTTTATAAAGAAAAGTTGTAAAAATCTCAGGAGTATAAAATGCGTCTTTTTACGACGAGGTTATTTTTCCTGTCGATTCTTTGCTGATGACCAGTAATTTAACATTTAAATATATGATATTTGGGGGAAAATTTAAATAATTTTTTTGATTTTTAATTTCGAACTTATTTATTGAAATTAATTATAATTATTATTGTGCTATTTTTTATGTCAATACTCAATGCAATTTCAGGAACATATTTTTTCGATATATTTCTAGATATGATGGTAATCTAACAGCAAATTCGTATTTGATGGCGTTCAGAAGACGAGTAACAGCGAAGAATTCCAACAAGAAAGTGTCTTGTTCTTGTTGATGGTTCGGTCTCTGTACACTTTATTATGATTTGTGGATAAACGAAAACAAAATTCGGTAGTAACTTCCCTTGATGATTTGTGAGAAACGTCATCGAAATCCGCATTTGAACCACCACAATTTGTGTCGCGTCATCAATACTTGTGTATGGGTAGTTTTCCCGTCGTCGAAATTATCACAACATGACCACCCCCACGGCAACAGCCAGAATTAGTGCCAAAAAACAAACGCTCGAGGATGCCTACTCGCCACCAGCAAACTTTCTAGAGATCGACGTTTCTGATCCCCAGACTCATGGAGTGGCGAAAACTCGATTTACAGACTATGAAGTCAGAATGAAGGTAAATGATGAGTAGCTAGCTTCGTAAGAAATGGAAATGGGAGGTGTCTTCTGAAAGTGTCCTAGTAGTAGAAGAAGTAGAAGAAAAGGTAATGGCAATGGGATTCTCACTTTTAGATATAATTTTCTACTTCCTCTGTATACTCCACTTTTTTTTTTTTTTGTAAAGTGTGCGGGACTTGAGTATCTGTTCATTATAAAAATTTAATGACCAACGTGGCTTTTTATTTAATACTCGTATTAATACATTGAAAAAGAAAATTATACTATACTAATATAGTATTATACTATTGTTACAGTAGTTGAGTAATGTATTTTAAACGTAAACTTAGTAAAGTATCTGCAATACTGGCAATAGCCTTGCCAGAATGTGTAAGATAAAAAGGGGAGTGATGGCTCGTTTCTTAATAAAATAATTTTTTGGTACTACAAATAATAGGCTATGAAATGTAAACTCAGTATACATTGCTTACTCCACAGGAACAACCCCGCCCCCCCCCCAAAAAAAAAAAAAAACACACACACACCAGAGGTAATCTGGGCCAGCAGAGTATTGGTCAACCCTAATCTGCAACATTATCATTATAGGCAATAGAATATCAGTGTCTCAGAATAGTAAAAAGAGCCAGATGTTTTTAAAAAGGCAAGCACTAAAATACAACTTATCACCAACATCAAAAAGAGACAAGTCATATTTTTTTGGGTCATGTTACAAAAAGAAGGAAACTGGGATATGTTATGACCACTGGAGAGATCTGTGAAAAGAAAGAGAGACAGAACAAGACAAGGCGAAGAAGATTCCTGACAGCCTTTAGTAAAGGCATGGCGGGATGTCACTACATGAACTGATAGAAGCAGTTGCAGATTGTGGAAAGGTATGATCGCCCACACCAGTCGCAAGACACTTGATGATGAATCAATAGTAGTACAGGCTGTAATGAAATTCCAGGTGGTGCAGTAGCTTGCCTGTGGGCTAGTGGTGCTAGGTTCAAATCTAAATCACAGATGCTGTTTTTAAGCTGACCTGGGCTCATAAGTCAACCCAGCCTATAAATGAGTGCCAGGAACTTTTCTGGGTCATATGGAGGCCTTTCAGATATTGATCACATTATGCACTGAGAACTGATTGGTCTGTAAAACCATGGCACTGATTCCACATGCCCGATATATGTCAGGATCTGGACATGTGCCCTTGACTGTTCTTTTCACAGGCTGTAATAAGCCTGTTCTTCTGCATATCCCTGTGGAGCATAGGGCCTCAGCTACTTGCATCAAGCCTTCCTAACCTTTACCAAGATGCATATCACCCTCATGTCTTCATGGTCATATTTATCTAATTCTCTTTTCCATGTGTTTTTGTGTCTCCCTTTCTTTCTTTGATCTTCTGTGTTCCAGTGCAAGCACATTCTAGTTTTTTTCTGTTTTTCACAATGTGCGTTTGATTTAGTGCCTTTTCCACATCATTTAATTCAGTGGAATCTGTTCTTTTTCAGTGCTTCACATTAGTTTCTGTCATGCCATTTATTTCCATCTGTTCTGTGCAGGAACCAGTTAATTTAATTAGTTATAGTTTTAGTCTTCCACATTGTTTCTGTTCCATACAGTGGCAGTAGCACTGATTCAGTATTAAAGTCAATGTTTTGATGCACACGACTTCCACAGATTTCATTGTGTTATGGAAACTCCTCTTGTCTTTTGTATTCCTCCATGTTTGTCTATATGGCTGCCTATTTAATGTGTTATCACAAGGGAGATTTGGTTATTTTGTACCTTATTTCTTCTAATAATCTCTGTTGTTTCCTTCATAATGTGCAGTCACAGTTGTTGTTACCTCTTAGCAAGTATTTTTATCTTGCGACTTATGTCATGAGGAAATAAATGTCTGCAGTGAGTCCTGATTAGCAGACTGCTCTTTCAGGGTCCATTTTTAATGGTAGTTAATGCTTTGATAATCCAGTCTGTTGTCAGTCAGAATAGCAGAGGTGACAGAATGCATCCCTGTCACAACCCCTTACACCACCACGCCTGATGTAAATGACTTGTTCTCGTGACTTTCATAGAGTGGTTTGGGAGTCACACCATGGAAGAGAGTGGGCCTCACAACATAATATTTCCAAAACGGCAGTGTATTCGCTGCCACCAATCTTAGGTAAAGCAAAAACACAAGCCCCGGAAAGATGACTTTAACTCTCAGAGACAGTATTATATCAAAAAAGGAAATAAGTTATACAAATAAAGAAGTAATGTATGCTGGCAAATATAGTTGAAGAATAAAATTGCATTGTAAATATTGTTATTTTCAAGTGTGATGGTATTCTTTACCCCAAGAGTTATTGTACAGACATTTGTTTGAACATAAGTACAATATCAGGATACAATAAGCATGGTCACAAACAGTTTCTTGATGTTACCGGACATTTGTTCAAAAATGACCTTGGCTTCTAGTTCGACCAAGTTGGAGTCCTGGGAAGTAAAGGTGGCTGGCGTGATGCTGGCCATATCACCCACCAAGTGCCAGTTGGTCTGTAAAATATAGGTCTAGCCCTATATGCCCAGTACGACTTAAAGAGTGGAAAGTGTCCATTACTCAACTTTAGATTATGCTTTATATTCTTTGCAGACAAATCTGCCAGTTTTCAAGCTGAAGGATTCCAGTGTTCGACGGCGTTACAGCGATTTTGAATGGTTGCGGAATGAGCTGGAGAGAGATAGTAAAGTGGGTTATGTGAAATAAAGTAATTGTTTGAATGTGATGAGATGTAGTCACTTTTTAAATTCTAGGCTTTGAAAAAAAACCAAGAAAAAGAGTTGAAGAATAATCATACATTATTTCATTAATTGATTTCTCTTCACAAAAGATTGATTGCTGCAGCAGGACTTGATTATATCAAGATAGACGTCACATTTATAGTAACAGCAACTGATTTACTGTAAACCGTATGTAATAGTGCAGGGCAGTGAAAAATAATTAGCTTTTGATTCAAATATGCACAGTGAGTAGACAAGTAATAAGTCAAAGGCTCTACTCTTGAGTAGAATTTGTTCTGGCATACAATTCATTTAGATAGTCGTAGAATGGATGATCTTACATACAGTTCACTTAGATAGTCGTAGAATGGATGATCTTACATACAGTTCACTTAGATAGTCGTAGAATGGATGATCTTACATACAGTTCACTTAGACATGAGAAACAGTAGGGCTGTATTCATAATTCATTGGGTTAGTTGAGAAACAGTGGGTCTTGTATATAAGTCTAAGACAGGCGAGAAACAGTAACTAAAGCATAAAGCTTTCTAAGACAGAGGACAGATTTTAGATATGACTTTTATTTGTCTAAGTTCATTTATATAAAACAATGGCCTACCATACTGTAATATATTAGAAAGCTGTTACGTCATGCAGCACTTGTAAAACATTTACTGACTTGCATGATCCATACACTACAACATAACATAACCCTTGACCCATTAGGGCCTTGGAGGTGTATTGTGTTATATGTAAAGCGTGTGTTGTGTATACGGTATCTGTTAATAGAAGGTATAAGTTGTATGTAAGGTGTGTATTATATGCAAAGTATTCAGTAACTGAACTCGTGTCCTCAGATTGTTGTGCCACCTTTACCTGGCAAAGCCTTGAAGCGACAACTGCCATTTCGAGGAGATGATGGTATATTTGAAGATGAATTCATTGAAGAGCGGAGGAAGGGACTAGAGCAGTTTATCAACAAGTGAGCACCATGTAACATTTTGTTCATTTAATTATTTCATTTTTTTTTCCTTATGGGTTCCGGGGAAGAACAAGAATAGTCTCACTGTTTTTATAACAAGCATGTCGTAAAAGTTGTATAATTAGGGCTTTTCTTCGGGTTGGAGTGCATCTGCCTGCGAGGCAAGGAACCAACAGTCTGCATACAAATAAACCAGATCTATAACAGATGTGCACACAACACTCAAGTACTGAGGTGGGAGAACAACCAGAACTTTCTACCGGAGTTAACAGATGGTGAATGCAAATAAACAGAAGTAGTTTTATAAATAAAGGTAATGCACAAGCATTTTGAACACAATCATTGTTATGTTTGTGGCTTGTGCTTGGTTTTCTGGTGTCAATAGTTTAATGAATTATGACAATAAATTGAAGAACAATTTTTGTGATGGGATCATTGTTACTGTTACTTGTTTTCATCAACCATAAAGGAAAACACTGATAATGGTTTTAAACATCTTGTGTGTGTGTGTTTTTTTTTTTTTAAACTCTTACTCCTTAAGCTCATCTGTGGTTGTCGAGGTTTGTCGATGGATGCATTAGTTGTCTTCTATTTCCCCTGCTTCATTGCTATATGTTAACAGTTGTTTAGCTTGCCCTCTCTGTGTAGCATTTTCTAAATTATTACAAACAAAATACAGCAGCAGTTTCATTTGTTTAGTTTGATGAATTACAGTTTCAAATGTTACAAGTAAAATATATCAACACAAGGTTAACAACCTGCAACTCTCTTTGATTTAATTCCTCACATTTTTACTTTTCTTTCTTGTCCCCTTTTCGTCTTATTACCTCCCCATTTCTTGCTCTCTACTTTCTTTGTTTACACATTTAAAGAAAATAAAAAATAAAAAAAAACAGAAGAAGAAGTTAATCACATATTCTTTACAGGCAAAGGCAGAACCAGCCCCAGCATTTGTTGACTGTTTTTGTTTGACTGGGCAGTTTTATGTTCAGTAGGAGGCTATTGCTTTCTGATTGGCTGGTTCTCAATACCACTGTCAAAGTCAAGGCAACATTATCTGCTGCCAGATCGCCCCTAGCTGGGAGCAAACAGGTATTTCAGAATTAGGAAGTGTGTTCACAGCACCTGAGCCACAGATGCCAACATATTTATTTTATGTAGACTTTGTTGTTTGATGTTGAATAATGTGTTGTATTCCATATTTGTGTGAGGCTTCATTTTGCTGTATTACATTACCAACAATGTTTGGTGATATTTTCCAACTCTGTGGTTGAACTGATCATTGACTGTGTTTATCTGACAGAGTGGCGGGACATCCTCTTGCCCAGAATGAGAAATGTTTGCACATGTTCCTGCAGGAACCAGTCATAGACAAGAACTACGTTCCAGGAAAAATTAGAACCACATGATACATTTTCTTCCTCATTCAATGCCCGCTGTTAATATTGAAAATGCCATTCCCATTATATGATCCCTGCAAAATTGTTTGTAAACATGATGGAATTCATATGATAATTACATTGTATTTGTAATCAATACATTTAAATACAGGCATATTTTTAAACTTAATGTCTTTTTTTCTCTGATTTTGTTGTGATTATGATATCATGGGCAGTGGGAACGAGAGCAGGTGACTCATAGATGCTGGAAATAACACTGTATTTATGTGATTTGATAACATTGCAAATGTGCACCCATTTGTGATTTGTACATATTTTAACTCCTGTCTTCTCCTCCCCCCCCCACCCCCCCCTCTCCCCCACCCCCCCCCCCCCCCAATTGACATGGAAGATGTTGTTGTTGTTATCGATCCAGTGGCGCATGAGCTTTCGCCCTTTGGCCCAATGCCATGTAGTGGAATTTGCATGTTTTCACAAGCTGTTCTTTTCCTCCGTACAAGGTGTTCCACTTGTCTGGTCTCGGAGGGAGTAGCGTTCTTCTTGTCTCACTGAGTTTTGGGGCACTCAAAGAGATGGTGTTCAACAGTTTCGTAGGGGTAGTTACATAGCTGGCACTCTGGGGAGTGTTGTGGCTGTATTCTGTTTAGGTGTCCATTGAGTGGAGTATGTTGCGTTTTAAGTCTGAAGATGGTGGCCTGGTCCCTTCTTGTTAGATGGTTAATGCTGTCATTAGGATCAGGGCCAGACATATGTCTATAAACCTCTCTTCCAGTGTCTCCCATGGCCCATCTGTTCAACCAAGTCTCTTTGTTTATAGCTCTTATCAGTGTTTTTGCTGTCTGGAGGGTTGTCGCTGTAGGTGGTTGTTCTTGTGTTGCTCCTTTCTTTGCCAATCTGTCAGCTCTGTCATTACCTGGTGTGCCGGAGTGACCTGGAATCCACTGCATCACTATTCTGATGTTGTATGAGGTAATAAGCTGATCGGCATCCAGGATTATCTTGGCTATGTCAGTTCTGCAGCGTTCATTGCCCTCCAGAGCTTGAAGGGCAGACATTGAATCTGTGAAGATGACAATATTTTGGACCTTTGAGGGGTAAACATCCATTACAGTCTTTAGGTGGTATACTGCTGTTTCCAGTGCAATTATTTCAGCTTCATAGTTTGAACAGAATTCCCCGCATGCATCAAAAATCTCTTCAACAGATCCATCGGGATAACCTATGTAGATTCCGTAACCTGCTTTAATGGTAGCTTTAAATGCTGATCCATCAGTATAGACATGACATGGAAGATGAGGAAGGGACATTTTCCCACACCTTGAGGCATATTAGGTATATGATGCTAGCCTCATATCGTACAATCAGTCAGCATTTGAATGGGTGATGTGGTTAGTATCACTCCATTGAACACTTCCTGGTACCTGTATTAGGTGGGAAGAGAGCAGAGAATGGGTGATGTTGTCAGTATCACTCCATTGAACACTTCCTGGTGCCTGTATTAGGTGGGAAGAGAGCAGAGAATGGGTGATGTGGTTAGTATCACTCCATTGAACACTTCCTGGTACGTGTATTAGGTGGGAAGAGAGCAGAGAATGGGTGATGTTGTCAGTATCACTCCATTGAACACTTCCTGGTGCCTGTATTAGGTGGGAAGAGAGCAGAGAATGGGTGATGTGGTTAGTATCACTCCATTGAACACTTCCTGGTGCCTGTATTAGGTGGGAAGAGAGCAGAGAATGGGTGATGTTGTCAGTATCACTTCATTGAACACTTCCTGGTGCCTGTATTAGGTGGGAAGAGAGCAGAGAATGGGTGATGTTGTCAGTATCACTCCATTGAACACTTCCTGGTACCTGTATTAGGTGGGAAGAGAGCAGAGAATGGGTGATGTTGTCAGTATTACTCCATTGAACACTTCCTGGTACCTGTGTTAGGTGGGAAGAGAGCAGAGAATGGGTGATGTTGTCAGTATTACTCCATTGAACACTTCCTGGTACCTGTATTAGGTGGGAAGAGAGCAGAGAATGGGTGATGTTGTCAGTATTACTCCATTGAACACTTCCTGGTGCCTGTATTAGGTGGGAAGAGAGCAGAGAATGGGTGATGTGATTAGTATCACTTCATTGAACACTTCCTGGTGCCTGTATTAGGTGGGAAGAGAGCAGAGAATGGGTGATGTTGTCAGTATCACTTCATTGAACACTTCCTGGTGCCTGTATTAGGTGGGAAGAGAGCAGAGAATGGGTGATATGGTTAGTATTACTCCATTGAACACTTCCTGGTGCTTGTATTAGGTGGGAAGAGAGCAGAGAATGGGTGATATGGTTAGTATCACTCCATTGAACACTTCCTGGTACCTGTATTAGGTGGGAAGAGAGCAGAGAATGGGTGATATGGTTAGTATTACTCCATTGAACACTTCGTGGTACCTGTATTAGGTGGGAAGAGAGCAGAGAATGGGTGATATGGTTAGTATTACTCCATTGAACACTTCCTGGTACCTGTATTAGGTGGGAAGAGAGCAGAGAATGGGTGATATGGTTAGTATTACTCCATTGAACACTTCCTGGTGCCTGTATTAGGTGGGAAGAGAGCAGAGAATGGGTGATGTGGTTAGTATCACTCCATTGAACACTTCCTGGTACCTGTATTAGGTGGCAAGAGAGCAGAGAATCACCAATCAGGCACTGAAATTGATTCAGAAAATGATGTCCATCCATGATATTGCAAGGATTATTGAGGATTAAAACACAACTGGCTATGGGCCCTATGTGACGTATGAAATAATAGCACAACAGGATATTGATGAAATCAACACTGCCTCCCTGGATCTGCTTGGGCCTGACCATTGGACCAGCAGACAGGTGGGCTGGCCACTGTGGCCCTTGTCTAGACCAGTGGTCAGCAAACTTTAGTCGAAAGAGTTTTCAGAGTCATAACCGATTTGTTGATGACTGGCCGAGCCACACGCGGCGGCTCACGGGCTGCGATTTGCCGACCACTGATCTAGACAATCTTTATCTAAGGTCAAGAAAGGTCATGGTTTACAATCTTCTTGCTAAAAAATGTTTGATACTGCTTTATCTGTTTAATTGTGTATGGTACATCTTGCTCAGATAGAACAGAGAAAGTATTGTTCACTTTAGAGGAAGACAGATTTTCTGTTGTTGACATTATACAAAGAGGGTCAGAGCATCATCTTTCTATGAATAACACGGAGCTACAGCACTCTTGAACTCAAGAAAGCTTGTGTCTGGCCTGTCCGTCTAAGTGTAGAAGTTGGCAAGAGATGTAGTAGGATGATTCCTTCAGAGATACTTGAGTCAGAGCGTCAATATTGAATTTCTCTTTGTTATTTTTTCAAAGATTCCTTGTGGAGGGTTATGAACTATTTCTGTTTTCTCAAACAGATTTGGCCTCTACAAGCATGAGACTGTAATGAGGGGTGGAACTGTAACCCAAATAATAAGACTGGCTTTAGTAACTTTATATAAGACTTGTGTATAGCCACCTAGAAATGATTGGATATTAGCTTAAAGGGCAAATAACTACTTTACTGTAGCTAGCAGTGAACCAATCAACAAATACTGCAGTAACATGTACATGGAAAGTTCATAGATAATATATCATGTAAAGAAAAAATCTGCACAGGATGCATAACAAGGTGAAAGGACTTAGGAAACAAGTTGGTATAATATTAGTGTTAGAAACCATCGACAGACAGCAAGTAAGAATGTCCTGGTTAAGAGTGTGTCAGTTGATGAGGATTCAAGGCATGCTGTGTGATCCCTTTATTTATACATAAATCAGTCTAACCGATGTTGCACATTACTTTCCATATAATCTCCATATTTATGTAGTGGTCACTTATCCATCCATAATCAAAGACGTGTATACTGGCCCACAAGAAATCAGTCTCTTAGGAGTGATTGTCCTTGCCAGGGATGCTTACTTTCACTGGTGTCATTTCAGGCATTAATCTTTCGTCACCTGAAGCAATCCACTCTCATCCCTTTTCTTGTTAACACACAAGAGGGCCTAATAAAGATAGATAGATAGATGCTTCGTCTCCTGCAGCAGATGACTTAAGGTGTACATTTTCAGCAAGCACATTTTTATATTCAGTGGCCACCATGTGCAGAATCATATGGGGTGTTAAAGTTCCAAGCGATAGTAGAAAGTTCAGTACATCTGTCATCATGAATCAGCTATTCAGTGAGGATAACAGTGTCATCTACTGGTGTTCTTGACAAACCTGGCTGTCTGCTGCCACTGAATCCAGACCTTTTACTGTCATGTGACACATCAATAGATCTAGCAAGTTGGTGATGAATTTCACTTGGGGTTGGGCCATTAGTTTGCAGAAAGCTAGGCAATGATGGGTCATACTGTTAAGAGGGCCTCTATTTGAATTCTTGTAAACAGATAATCAGCTCTTTTGTGGGAAGGAGTGTAAGCCGTGCTCTAGTCTGTCATGCCAGAATATAATAATCTAACAATTAATAATAATTGTGTGTAACCTCATTTTGTAAACATCTTCATCCTGTTTATAAAATATACGAGCAAAAATCAGTTCCACAGAGGATGTACAGATAGTATGTTGAGGTATGAAACGCTACAGATTATAAGATGTATATCAGAACTAGTTAAAAAAGATGTTCAGTTTTACAATATAGCGGAAACAGAGAATCAGCAGACAGGCCCAGCAGATGCCCAAGAACTCCTAAGGAAAATGTCGATGAGGGAGGCCAAAGGTGCTAGGCTGGGTTCTACTTATGATGTTGAAATGGATTTAAAAAAAAGACTGGGCTCTTTAAGGCAGATAACAGCACAACAGGATGATAAATACAGCAATGAAACTGTAAACCTTAAAACATGTCATCACATTTTAGATGTTTAACAACAGGTAATATTCTAAAATTACCAACAGTAAAGTAAGATTCAAAATTATGTGGTGCTCTCCCATCTGTTGAGTCAACAAAGAGCAGATAAAACATAGATTTACTGAC